TGTGTGTGTGTGTGTGTGTGTGTGTGTGTGTGTGTGTGTGTGTGTGTGTGTGTGTGTGTGCGTGCGCGCATGCACACGTTGACTAACAGAGTGGTTGTTCTCACACTGAAGTGATCGACTCACTCTGACAGACCAACTTTTTTATAGCCAGACCTTTTCAAAATAACAAATACTGACCGTTTTCACCACATAGTTTACTACTGCAGGTCTAAGTTCTCTTTTTTTCCTAATCTCTTCTAATACATGCGTGCGAAACTCCAATTGTAATTAAATAAAAGCTTTATAAGAACAAAGCTGGAAGGAGAAGTGCACATGGATAGTCTTGGAACCTGCAATCTGAGTTCAGCACTCCAAAAATTCATTAGCAAGCTTTGGAGGGAAAACATAGAGCAGGGGTTGGGAAGGATAATGAGCATTAAAAAAATCCCAGAGATCTTTTTAAGTTTAAGAAAATGCCGTTTATCAACTTGTGTGTACATTACAACAATTGACCTTGAAGTGCATTAAATCCTGGCTGTTAGCTAGCAGTAGTGTTAGCTTGTCTGAGGGTTTTATGGGTCTGAAGCATATAATGAGTAGGTGCCGATGACAAGGTACTGGAACTGAGAATGTTGAAGAATGTGAGTAGTGCTTATAGCTAAAGAACTGCAGAAGGAAGTGTCAGAGTGTGGAGGCCAAACTCTGAAATCTGGCAAAGAAGCAAAATATGATTTACTTGAGAAGTAAGTACACAGGAGTCACTAAAAACAAAAGAAACACAGAGCAGTCGTTTTATAAAGCTAAAAAAGGAAACATGATCACATATTCATTCTGTCTGCTTCCATATTTTCTCCACCTTCTTGTCCAATCTCCTCAACTCCTTGCATTTTGTCTCAGTAAAGCAATGACACATTGTTCCATGTTCCTGCAAACTCGGAGCGAGACAACGAACAAAGGGCGAAAAGAAAGAGGTCTGAGTACAAAGGCCAAATAGAGCTGAAAGTGTGAAAGACGAACAAAGCCTTGTTCTCTGTGATGAGCATGTGTTGCACATATGGAGGTGATTCTTCTCCAGTTGTGTAGTGGAGAGTTTGGGAAAGTGAGCATGAAATGTATGGGTAAGGCCTGGCATGAGTGTTGGCTGTAACCAGACAGCAGTCAGGTGTATTAAAGCTTAGCAAAGGCTTGCAAGCACCAGGACAGAGAGCTGAGATAGTGTGTCCCTTCACAGTGTTTCCCCCTTTTTCTCTTATGTTTGTCTCTGATTGTATATCTATGTATAGTTACGTTTTTGGCCTCGTGAACAAGGAAAACAACTCTCTGAGAAGGTAAAGACATCTAAACAGTATATACCCTACAGTTTACCAGATCACCACCAAAATGTAATGAGTTGTCATTTTTCCTCTGATAGATAATCAGAATACTTTAATAATCCCCAAGGAAATTATGTGAAGTAATTTTGTGCAAAAACTGCCCCATTTCTTAATATGTTGATTCACTCCTTATTCTGGACCCACATCAGAATTTCAACGGTTCCTCTCCTTTACCTCTCCGCCCAATTTTAGGAAATCTTGCTTGTTAGTTTTCTTTAATCTTGTTGACAAATAGTAAGACAGGCAAATGGCACTGAAAACATACCAATTCCAAGAAGAAAGGCAAAGAGCAAGGGAAATAGCAGAAAGTCATTTCCTTTTTTCCTATTTAGTCTTAGTTTCCTGCACATGACTGCTTATTTTAATAAGGCAGTTTTTGTAGTTTCTTGTAGTTAAATAATGTGATTTAATATTATCCTGCGACATTGTCTTTGTGAGTGAAACCAGCAGCTAACAAGAGTTAAAGATTACATAAATAAAATGACTAAAAACACATGTTGCTGCTGGTCTGTTGGTTTTGTGTGGTAATTAAAATAGAAAAATAGCAAACTGGCAGCATACTGCAATGGTTATTATGTCACACATTCTTCCTTGTCAAAATCAAATGTCTATGTTGCCCACAATGCAACTTGACCACCTGCAGTTTGGTCTGAGGTTTGTCTACATTTCTGTGCATTGATGTGATGTCAGTATAATATGAAAAATGAGTTTCCATGAAAACCAGCTGAAGTTGGGGAAAAAAACAGCCCCAGAAGCCAGAAAATTCTGCCACAAGAGTTGCTTGGTTGTTGGCATCGTATCAAAAATATGACTAATCAAATTAGATATTGTGGCTGATAGCAAGAGGATTGCGATTAGCTCGTGATATCAGTGTAAAGTGATCTAGAAGTTGAATGAACGACTTCCCCGCTCTTGAAATTGGACTATCAGAAGGGTAATAGGCTAATACAGATGCAAGTCACATTTAGCCTAGGGCTGTGCGATATGACCAAAATCTCATATCCCGATATAAGAATTCTATCGTCCGATAACGATATAAATCACAAAAATGTAACATTTTCTGTAAATTCTGTGAATCTCGGGCAGCTCGACTTGCGGGAAGTGTTTCCAGCTGCGCGTCATGTAGCTGGAGTCGAGTGTTTTAACCGATGCATGAAACGATACATTTTTAGACATAAGTTGTAACGGCCGCCGTTTTCTTTGTGAGTATTTATTACACGGCGTGCTGCGGGGGAAAGCCTGTTCTAACGTTTGAGTCTAAGGTTTATTTTTTAGCACCTGGCGGCTCTTTTTTAATTCTCATCCGTAAATACTCTGCATCTTTCACGTGATTCAGTTTATTTTGAAATGTCTCAACAGGATCTTGAGCTTTATTGTGAAAGGTTTATGTGGAACATAAACAAGCGGACACGCGATGGTGTTACCGTCGTTGTTGCTAACCACAACGCATAAAAACAGGCGCTTGTCCGTCTGTAGTGTGGTTATATAAAATATAAGAGAAAGAGAGAACTTTAAGAAATTAATATAGCTACTACAGTGACCATCAAAACGATGAAAAAATATTGCTGTAAACAGTTTATTTTGCGACA